AATAGTTTCTTCATTTTTAAAAAGTCTTAGTTCTCTCTCCTCTTCCACCTGAATCATTTCTAGATTTCTATCTCTGAGCTCACTCATTCTCTCTTCCATACAGTCTGCTCCATTTCCAATGCTTTCTAGTGCATCCTGCATCTCATTTATTGAGTTCTTCAGCTCCAGAATTTCTGTTTGCTTCTTTTTTTAGAGCTTTAATCTCTTTGGTAAAGTACTCCGTCTGTTCATTAGTTTTATTCCTGGGCTCATTCAACTGTCTGAGTCTTCTTACAGCTCACTGAGTTTCTTGATGACAGCTATTTCAAGTTCTCTATCAGTCAGACTGCAATCTTCCGTGACTTCAAGTTCAGTTTCTTGAGAACTGTCATTTTCTTTATGTAATACTGTGTTACCGTAATTCTTTTTTTGGTGCTTGATGAATTGTTCCTCTGCTGGTCATTTGTAGTAGTGAACACCTTCCTTATTTGGGCAAGGCTTTGTGTTCTTTGATTCTTAGCTGCCTCTGGTTATAGCTGAGAACCAGTGCCTTCCACCCTCTACTGCCTCTTCCAGAGGTGGTGTCGGTGCTCTCGTTGTTGCTGCTTTTGCCTCCAAGGTCACTGGTGCCTTGCTGCTGCCAGTGTTGTTGGGGTCAGGGGCACCACTACTGGGGTCACCAGGCTGGCGAGAACCTCTGCTGCTTCTGGGGTCATCTAGGTCATGAGGGAAGATGGGGCAGGAGCTGAGGTAGCAGGTGCCTCCACTGTGTCCAGGATTGTTGGGTTCACAGGTGCCATCACCACCATGGATGGGGGGGTCAGGTTGCAGGCACCACTGCAGCTAGAGAGAACTGGGGTTACGGGCTCTGCTGCCACTGCTGCCCAGTTCCCTGTAGCCGGGGGGCCAGAGTCACTTGTGTTGCCTCTGCTGCTGTTACCAGGTTTTCTAGGGGTGGTGGCACTGCTGCTGCTGAGGGTGCCAAATTCACAAGCACCACCGCCACTGCCAGGCAGGCCGGGGTCGAAGGCACCACTGCCACCACCACAGGGTGCGATACCCACATCACAGGCACCACTTTGATTCCTGAAGCCTCAGGTTGCAGACGCTGTAGTGATTTCTGAAGCTCTGGCTCTAACCACCATTGCAGTCTCTGGAACATCAGGTCACAGGTGCTGCTGCTGTGGCTGCACCAGGGCCTCAGATGCATCCCCTGCAGCCAGGAAGGCCAGGGCTGCAGGTGCTGCTGCCACTGCCAGGGGCAAGGGGGTTGAGCTGTGGGTGCCACTGTGGTTCCTGGAGCCTCTGGTTTGGGAGCTGCCACCAATGCTTCTCTGGTTTCACTGCCTCCACAGGATCCAGTCGACCCACCTTCGGATGTGCAGACGTATGGATCTCTCAGGTGTCCTGGTGTGCTGTGCAGAGGGCACTTCATCGGTCTACGGATGTCTCACTGGTTGTAACTTAGAGGGGAGAGACCCAGGGAATGACTCATGTGGCCATGATGCATATGTCACCCCAGTACTTTATTTTCCCCCATGAAGTAATCAGAAGAATTGAAAAAGAATTAGGAAGGGGATAACTTCACCACTCTGTAGTTCAGTGTCATTTAAACTTACATCCCCGGTGATCTGAAAATCACCCCCGACCCCACCAGCATTTGGGAAAGGCTGAGACAAGATGTAGGAGGGCCTGGCCCATGGCCAGCAGGCGTTTCCCCTGATGCTATCCTTGCTGCTGGCCTCATCCTCCCACTGCTCCACCCCACCCCAAATTCAGCCTGATGTCCTGCTCAGAGGCACTGCCCTCCACCCTGTCTACCGCACCCCACCCCTGGCCTCCCCTATGTTCCCCTTCAACGTCCTTGATTCGTACGTATCACAGGCAGTGCTGGAAATACACGTGTGAGGTCATCATGGGTCTCACTACCCGAATACAATGACAAAATGAGCGTTTTAAAAAGAAAAATTGGCACCATCCCCCCTGCCCCTGGTCACTGCCCCACCTGTGTTCCTCCCAGGCGTGTCCACATTCCTTGTCCCACATCTCAGTGCACGGGCTGGGCCGTGCTCACTGACCATTATATCACTTGCACACACTTTCCTGCAGCTTCAGTCCTCCTGTGCCGGGAGGGGACAGCAACAGTGTGGCAACAGTGTGGGGTCCCAGCCCTTGAGGAGGAGTAGGCAGAAGGCTGGCGGGAGTCAAGACTTGGTCTTCCCGTTTCATCTGACTTGGAAGTTTTGCTGGTTCACCCATTCTGCTCTGTGGATCCCCTGGGACACCCAAATGTTATCTTTTAAGCAGCAATCGCTTACTCATTTTGTTTATTTATCCATCCCAGCCCCCCCTGATCCCTGTCTGACCCGGGCTGCAGGCTGGCGCCAGCGCCCAGGGGTGACTCCGGCCAGGCCCTGGAGGAGTACAGCCTCATGTGTGGTGAGCAGAGGGCAGGTTCCAGAGGGCTCCACCCAAGGTGCCCTCAGCGTACAGGGACAGACAGGAAGGAGGACCTGAGCTCTTCTGCGAGCGTGCAGATTTCCAAGAGGGTGGCGCTGGAGGTGGCCAGGTACGAGGGGAGGTGTAAGGAGCCTGGGGTCCAGCCTCAGTGATGCTGTTTCACCCGGCAGGTTCCATATCTGGTACCCACTCTGCCCCTGGCAGCCCCTCCACTGGTCCCACCTCCACTCTCCCCTCCCTCCCTGCTCCTCTCTGAGCATTCTTGCCCTGCAGCCTAAACAGATGTGGGGACCCCATCCCCTGTGGACAGCGGGTGGGGTGGTGGGCTGTTTCCTCTCCCCCCACCAGCAACCTGGGCCTGGGAGACAGTGGAGTCTATGTCCTCCTTGCTGCTGTTAGAGCACTTCTCCTCTCCTTCCAGGCTAGCCCTCTCTGACCCCTGCATCCCCACTCGTGTCTTCGGAGGGCAGCACAGCCACGGTGGAGCCCTCGCATCTCCCCGGCTCCACACACCTCACCCAGCACCTCCCTTCTCTCTCCTCACTCTGAGGTCATCCCTCAGGACCTGCTCCCACACCCTTCTCTTCTCTCCTCTTTCTCCTGGAGGCTTCCCCCAGCACCCCAACATGCCCAGGAGGCCCCATCCTAAAAAGAAAACAAAGGAAACTTCCTCTGACTCCACATCTCCCTCCTGCTGCCATCTGTTGTCTCCCCCTCTTTAGACCTACAGGCTTCTAAGAGAAACTGTCTACACATGTCCACCTCCTCCCCATCTCCTCTCCCTGTCTCCTTGGTGTCTCTACTACCTGGTTCGGGCTTTTATCTCCACACAGCGTCCCATCCACTAAGATCACCAGGGGCCTTCAGGGGCCACGTCCAAGCCCTGAAGCCCTTGACTTCTGTGGTCAACGCATGCCTCGTTCCCATCTCCGCAAGGCTGCCCGCTCCTCCACTGGTCCCCCCTCAGAGTCGGATGGTTGCAGTCTCCTTGGTCGCTCCTCCTCCTCGGCCTGCCTCTAAATTGCACCCCTGCCCTCCTTCCCCACTGCTCCGCTCTTGCTGCCCTCTCTGCCTGACCTCCCTGGACCAGAGGTTCTCAGCGCCAGCTGGGCACTGGGATCAGCTGGCAGCCTCTGTGAAATGCTGCTGCCCAGGCGCACCGCGACCACGCCCCCAGGCGCGGGGCAGGGCACTGGGGGGGGGGGGGGGGCGGCGGGTTTCAAAGCTCCCAGGTGATTCTGATGCCCAGGTTCCCTCCCAGCCTGATCCCTCCGTGGAGCGCCAGCGGGCGGGGTGACGGCGCCACCTGGCGGCTTTCTCGGGCCATAAGGTGAATTGCAAAGAGAAACGATTGTTACTTGTAAAACCTGGCGAGCTCATTAAAGAAAGCTGCGGCTGCAGTTGAGCTGGTCCAAGGCAGCCGCTACCTCGACAGGCTCACAGCTCTTCCTAATCAAACAGCAAACTCTGCAACGCACCTGGCACTGTCTTAAGTGCCCCACCACAATCGTACAACATAGGTATTATTATTATTCCCATTTCACAGATGAGGAAACTGAGGCACAAAAACTTGCCCAAGGCCACCCAGGTAGCAGAAGCTGGAGCTGGCGTGACAAACCCAGACGGTCTGGCTCAACGGTCCACACTCCTGGCTGCAACAAGGCGGCTGCTTTTACGGGGACAGCGGCTGGCAGCGTCTGCTTCTTTGGCAGGGCACACGGTGGCACAGCACAGGCAGGCAGATGACGGACTGCCATCAGGAGATGTCATCTGCTGCTGCCTTTATATTCCTGCCCTGAAACGCCTCTCCCTAAGGCTGAAGCTGGCTGTAACATTTTATCCAGGCCAACCCAGCATGAACCAAGTCCAGCTTCACCAAGTACAAGAGCGTTTTTAGTCCTCTGGAGTAAAAAGATGCTCTGCTCCGCTGGAAATCCCCTGGGAAGCACTTTCTCCCAGTGACTTCCTTAGGAAAGCGAATCACTTTGACCTACTCTCATCAGTGTCTAAGGTTTAACTGGCCCCAAAGTGCCTTCTGGAACGCTCTTCCCACACCCCACCTCCAGGTTCATGGCGTAGCGGCTCCATCTCTCCAGCTGCTCAAATCAGAACCCCGGGGGTCCGGTTCGGCCCCTCTTTCTTCCTCGCCCCCACATGCTATCAACTCACCCCCATGAGCCATGGATTCCAACTCCAAAACACACTTATCGCCTCTCTATGGCTCCCTCCACTCCGCTAGTCCAGGCCACCACTGGGGCTGTCCCTGATTCACGCTCTTCGCTTCTCTTTCTCACTCCCTCCTGTGCAAGGGAGGGATGTTTACAAGACAAATTTGATCCTGTCACTCTGCTAACAGACAGTAAAAATATCAGTGGCCCTTTGGGGAGAAACCCAAACCCTCAGCTAGATCTCAAGCCCCTCCTCTCAGCAGCCCTCCTAGCTTTGCTCCCCTCAGTCCAGCCGCACTGGCCTTCTGTCTGCTTCTCCCCCGCCCCCCGGCCCAGCCTTCAAACGCCCCAAGCTTCGACCCTGTGTTGCCCTTTACCTGGATAACCACACACCTTTCAGGTTTTAGCTCAAATGCCGGAGGCCCCTCTGCCCCGGGCCCGCTGTTTGTTCCCCCCGCCTCGGTCCAGGGTCCCGGGCGCTGTCACTCTGGCCGGCGACGTCCCGGCGGTCGGACGAGGAAGGGGCGGCAGGCGACCTCACGCGCCGAGCCCCGCGGGTCCGCCCCCGCCAGCACCCAGGGGCGCCCAGCGGGGTCTCTAGTCCCCTGGCGGCAGCAGCGGTCCTGGCCCCTGGCTCTTCCAGCCGGCCCTGCGAGGCCTGGCGCCGTCGGGATCCGGGGAGGATATGCCCCCTACGCCCTCCGGACCCGACCCCCGGCCGGCTTTCCACGTGGAGTCAAGAGAATCCCTCCGCACCGGACGCGAGCCCGGCTGGGGCGGGGCTTCCCGGCGCTGGCCCCGCCCACCTGCGGCCCCGCCCCCGCAGCGTCCGCGGTGGCATCCAGAGGGACTTTGCAGCATCGGTTAGCGACACCTGCGTGCAAATCCTCACCTCTGCCGCTTTGCTGCGTGGCTTCTTTTACTAGATGGTGACCGACCTCCTTCTACGGGCCACGCATCCACCCAGGCGCTGGGGCTGCCGGGGTGAATAAAATCGCTTGGAGCTTACCATCTAGTGTGGGGAGACTGACAATAAAATAAATAGTGTTAAAAAAGTATAGAATGTTAGGAAACAAAAGAAAAAATGAACAAGTGGGAATTCGTCAGACTAAAGAGCTTCTGCAACACAAAAGAAACTAGGATGAAAACAAAGAGACAACCCACCAATTGGGAGAAAATATTTGCAAATCATATATCTGACAAGGGGTTAATCTCCATAATACATAAGGAACTCACACAACTCAACAACAAAAAAACAAACAGCCCCATCAAACAGTGGGCAGAGGAGATGAACAGATATTTTTCCAAAGAAGATATACAGATGGTCAATAAACACATAAAAAGATGTTCAACATTGCTAATCATCAGGGAAATGCAAATCAAAACTACACTAAGATACCAGCTAACACCTGTTAAAATGGCTATAATCACTAAGCTGAAAAATAGCAAATGTTGGAGAGGGTGTGGAGAGATGGGAACCCTCATACACTGCTGGTGGGAATGCAAACTGGTGCAGCCACTATGGAAAATAGTATGGAGATTCCTCAAAAAACTAAAAATAGAAATACTATATGACCCAGCTATCCCACTACTGGGTATCTACCCAAACAACTTGAAATCAACAATCCAAAGTAACATATGCACCCCTATGTTCATTGCAGCACTGTTCACAATAGCCAAGACATGGAAGCAACCCAAGAGCCCATCGACTGATAACTGGATAAAGAAGATGTGGTATATATATACAATGGAATACTACCCAGCCAGGAAAAAAGGCAAATTAATCCATTTGCAATAACATGGAAGGACCTAGAGGGAATTATGCTAAGTGAAATAAGCCAGTCTGAGAAAGAGAAACACCAGATGATTTCACTTGTATGTGAAATATAAACAAGTACTGGGACAATGAAAACAGTTCTGTGGTTACCAGGGGAAGGGGGGTGGGGGGTCATAGCGGTGAAGGGGAGCACTTATGTGGTGACAGTCAAGAAATAATGTACAACTGAAATCTCACATTGATGTAAACTATTATGATCTCAGTTAAAAAAAAAGTATAGGATGTTAGATATAGATAAGTCCTTAGGGGGGAAATCAAGCAGGGAGGGAAGATGGGACTTTGGGAAAGAGGGTTACAATTTTAAGTAGGGTGGTCTGGGAAGGCTTCCGCTAGAGGGTACACGTGAGTAACAACTTGAAGATGCAGACGTGTGTCTCGGGGAGGAGCATCCTGTGGGGAGCAAACGGCAAGGGCAAGGGTGTGTTCACCGGACTCAAGCAGGCCGGGTGCTGGAGGCAGAGAGGATGCAGCGGGGCATGAGGGCAGAGAGGAAACCCTTGTGAGGAGGTGGGCTTTGCCCCTGAGGGAGAAGGGAGGCTGGAGGGGTCTCAGCCCAGGAGAGACAGGACTGACACACAGCAACGGAGTCTCTTTGGCTGCTGCTGTTGAGAACAGACTGCAGGAGACAAGAGATCCGGCACCAGTTAGGGGCTATTGCAAGGGCAGGAGGCCACGGTGGTGGTGGGGGTGGAGGCTTGAGAAGTGGCTGGATTCCGGATCCAAGTTGAAGCCACAGTGGACGGGATTTGCAGCTGGACTGGATGTGGGGTTGGAGAGAAACTCACAAGTTTCTGAACATCAGAAAGGATGGAACTCTCTGGGACGGCGAAGGCTGTAGGAGAAGGAGGTTTAGGGGTGGGGAGACAAGAGGCTTATCTTTGGACATGTCACTTAGAGCTGGATATTCCACCTGTACGAATTCCACCTCTAGGGCTACGCTGGAAATCAAGATCTGGGAGTCATGAATGTGCAGATGGTATTTAAAGCCTTGGAGCTGCGTGAGATCATCCGGAGAGAGAATGTGGAAAGAAAGGAGCAAAGGGGTGTGTGTATGCGTGCATGCATGCACACAGGGGAAAGGGAAGGAGACAGAGCCAGAAGCAGCCAGGAAGGTAGGAGAAAAAGAGGGAAGGGAGGGGCCCTAAAGCCAAGTGCACAGAGTGCTTCCTGGGGAAGGGATGGTCAGCCGTGCCAAATGCTGATGGGGGAACGTGAGGACTGAGAGGTAACCGTGGGATTTAGCAACGTGGAGGCCGTTAGTGACCTTGACAGAGCAGTTTGGGTGAATGGTGGGGGTGAAGGGTGGTTGGAGTGGGTTCTAGAGAGAACCAGAAGAGAGCTGTTGGAGAAGGTGAGTCTAGACCAGCCTCTGGCAGCGTTTGCTTTAAAGGGAAGGAGAGAGAAGGGGTTGTAGTTGGAGGGAGATGGGAGGGGTCCAGCTCCAAGAGAGGTGAACACAGGGATGCAGGAGAGGAGAGGGTTGTGGAGCAGAGTCCCAGGGTGAGGCGCTGGACTTTCCAGGAGCGAGCACACTTTGTCCATAGTGACGAGAGAGTGGATCATGTGTGCACAGGGACAGCTGCTGGGAGCCTGAGGAAGTCCTCCTCTTTCTTTGGCTTGTGAAATATATTTACAGAAAAGCACATAAAACACATAGATACCATTTCATGAATAAGATAGGTACCTAGGTAACCATCACTTAGAGCCAAAAAAAAAAAAAAAAAAAAAAAAAAAAAGGGCGTTATTACCATGTGACCACGATTCTGGGGTCACTGACAGCATTTTAAAACACAGTTTACCATTTAAATGCATTCCTGAGCCATTTTTGGATGTTACTTAACTTCATTTGAGTTTTTAAAATTTAATTTTTATTTTTTCCTGCTTTATTGAAGTATAATTGACAAATAAGATTGTTAGATATTTAAAGTGTATGACGTGATGATTTGATACATGTATACATCGTGAAAGGATGCTCCTGAATTAATGAACACATCCATCACCTGACATAGATAGTTGTTTTGGTGAGGACATTTAAATTCTGCTCTCTTAGCATATTTCAATTATACAATACAGTGTTATCAACTACAGTCACTGCGTTTTACAGTAGATCCTCAGAACTTATTCATCTTATAACTGAAAGTTTGTACCCTTTTACCAACCTCTCCCTACCTCTCCCACCCCAGCCCCTGGCCACCACTTTTCTACTCTCTGTTTCTATGATTTCAACTTTTTTTTTTTTTTGTAAGATTCCACATATAAGTGACACCATGCAGTATTTGTCTTTCTCTGCCTGGCTTAACTTCATTTGAAAGGAAACCTGTCCTTTTTCATTCAACACTATGTTTGTGAACATCATTCACGTTTTCTGTAATTTATCTTGTCCATTTTCATGACTGCATAGTATTCCATGGTAGAAACAGATCACACATTATTTATCCCTTCTCCTGAGATGGACATCTGGGTTGTTTGTGGGTTCTGGCTGTCACAAACGGTGCTGCAGTCCACGTTTGTGGGTCTGCCATTTGTGTGCATGTGTGGGAGTCTCTCCAGGGGATAGTGGAATTGCTGGACCAGAGAAGGTGTGTATCCTCAGCTTGAATAGATGATACCAAATTGTTCCCAAAGTGGACATAGGAATTTACACTCCTATAGTTCGATGGGTGTGTAATGGTTTTTCATTCTAGTTTTAATTCACATTTCCTTAATCACTAATGGATTTTCTCTTTTGAAAAGTGCCTGTTCCAATCTTTGGTCCATTTTTCTATTGGGTTGCTGTTCCAGTTCTTTATTGCTGCACAGATAAACTACCCCAAAACTTAGTGGCTTAAAACAGCAACAATAATTTTCTTTGCTCACGAATCTTCAATGTGAGCAGTGCTGGGCCTCAGCTGGGATGATTCAACTGCTGGGAGCTGGACCAGCTGGAGTACGGCTTCCTCACAGCAGGGGGGTCCCAGGGTAGTCAGACTTCTTGCATAGCAGCCGGGGCCCCCTCAGGATAAGCCTTGCAAGAGATCTGGGTGGAAACAGCAAGGCTTCTGACCTCGTCTTGCATGCCCCAGATGTGTTCTAGACGTCAAGCAAGTCCCTAAGTCCAGCCCAGATTCAAAGGAAGGGGACTTAGATTCTCCTTTACAATGAGAGCAACAGCAAGGAATGTGAACCCATCCCTCGTCTCCTGCATGACGTAGCTTGTTCTTATCGATTTACAGGAGTTCTTTATAGATTCTGTATTAGTCTGATGTCAGTCACATGTTTTGGAATGATCTCTTCCATCATAGCTTTCTTTTCACTCTATGTCTTTCCCACTTTGTGGCTAATGCTTTTTGAATCCAAACAAGTTTTTCTCTCCCTCAAGGTCGTACAAATATTCTCTTAAGAGCTTTCTCACTTTCTCAACTTCTAAAAGCTTTCTAACTTCGTCCTTCCTATCCACGCCTTTAATTCACCTGGAATTTACTTTAGTGCATGTAGTAGTCTTTTCCCATATGGGTGTTTAAGAGCCATTTATTAAGAAAAATGTGCTTCCCCCACTGCTCTGTGGTGGCGCTTCTGGTGGATGTCAACTACTTGTGTTTGCAAGTATCCTTTCTGGGCTCTCTGTTCTGGTCTGCTTTTTTTTTCTTTCTATCCTTGAGTCAGTACCACACTGTCTGAATTTCTGTTGAATTATAATAGGTCTTGCTATCTGGTACAGTAAGTTTTCCCGTCTTGTTCTTTAAGAGCGTCTTGGCTATCTTGGTCCTTTACACTCCCTACAAATTCTAGAATCCCTCGACAAGTTACAAAAAATATCTGTTGGGATTTTGATTGCGATTGACATCAATGACGTGTTTACTCTTCTGACATTTATTCACTGTATATCTTTCCGTCTATTTAGGTGTTCTTTGATACTCATCAATGAAGTTTTATAGTCTTCCTGC